ACCCTCTTTTATAGCCATTAACTGATTTAACCTTTTGTAAATATTCAATCTTTGATAGTCATTAACTGATTTAACCTTATTTAAATACACCCTCCTTGATAGCTGTTGACTGGGTTAACCTTATTCAAATATACCATCTTTGATAGCCATTAACTAATTTAATCTTTTGTAAATATACAATATTTGATAGCCATTGACTGATTTAAACTTTTGTAAATATACAATATTTGATATCCATATGACTGATTTCACCTTGTTTAAATAGACCAACTTTGATAGCCATTGACTGATATAACCTTATTTAAATACACCCTCTTTGAGAGCCATTCACAGATTTAACCTTTCGTATAAATACAATCTTTGATAGCCATTGACTGATTTAACTATATTTAAATGCACCCTCTTTGATAGCCATTAAATTACTGAACCTTTTGTAAATATACAATCTTTGATATCCATTGACAGAATTAACCTTGTTCAAAAAGACACTTTCTGATAGCCATTGACTGATTTAACTCATGTAAATACCCTATGTCTGATGGCTATTGACTGATTTAACCTTATTCAAATAGGCCATCTTTGATAGCCATTGACTGATTTAACCTTTTGTAAAAATACAATCTTTGATATCCATTGACTGATTTAACCTTGTTTAAATAGATCCTTTCTGATAGCCATTGACTTCTTGAACTCATGTAAATAGCCTGTGTCTGATAGCCGTTGACTGATTTAACCTTATTTAAATAGGCCATCTTTGGTAGTCATTGACTGGTTTGACCTTGTTTAAATAGATCCACTTTGATAGCCATAACTCATTTAACCTTTTATATAAATACAATCTTCGATAGCCATTGACTGATTTAACCTTGTTTAAATAGAACCACTTTGATAGCCATTGACTTATTTAACCTTTTGTAAATATACAATCTTTGATAACCATTGCCTGATTTAACCATGCTAAATATAGACCCTCTTTGGTAGCCATTGACTTATTTAACCTTTTTAAATTGACCCTTTCTGGTAGCTATTTACTGATTTAACTCAATTCAAAAGCCTGTGCCTGATAGTCGTTGACTGATTTAACCTTATTTAAATAGAGCCTCTTTGATAGAAATTGACTGATTTAATTTTCTTTAAATAGACCCACCTTTATAGCCATTTACTGATTAATCCTTATTTAAATATACCCTCTTTGATAGCCTTTGACGGTTTGAACATGTTGTAAATATGCAATCTTTGATAACCATTGACTGATTTAACCTTGTTTAAATAGAGCCACTTTAGTAGCCATTGACTTATTTAACCTTTTTTTAAATATATCCTTTCTGATAGCCATTGACTGATTTAACTCATGTAAATAGCCTGTGTGTGATAGCCATTGACTGATTTAAGCTAAATTTTAATAGGCTATCTTTGATAGTCATTGACTGATTTAACCTTTTGTAATTATGCAATCTTTGATATCCATTGACTAATTTAACCTTGTTTAAATAGACCCTCTTCGATAGAAATTGACTGATTTAATGTTATTAAAATACACCCTCATTGATAGGCATAACTCATTTAAGCTTTTATATAAATACAATCTTTGTTAGCCATTGACTTATTTAACCTTGTTTAAATACACCCTCTTTTAAAGCCATTAACTGGTTTAACTTTTTTGAAATATAGCCTCTTTAATAGAAAATGACTGATTTAATTGATTTAAATAACCCTCCTTGATGACCATTGACTGAATAATCCTTATTTAAATATACCCTCTTTGATAGCCATTGACGGTTTTAACATTTTGTAAATATGCAATCTTTGATAACCATTGATTGATTTAACCTTATTTAAATAGACCATCTTTGATGGCCATTTACTGATTTTACCTTATTTAAATAGATCATCTTTGATAGCCATTGACTGATTTAACCTTGTTTAAATAGACCCTCTATCGTAGCCATTGACTGATTTAACATTGTTTAAATAGAGCCTCTTTGATAGAAATTGACTGATTTAATCTTCTTTAAATAGCCCTCCTTGATAGCCATTTACTGATTAATCCTTATTTAAATATACCCTCTTTGATAGCCATTGATGGTTTTAACCTTTCGTAAATATGCAATCTTTGATAACTATTAACTGATTTAACCTTGTTTAAAAAGACCCGTTTTGGTAGCCACTGACTGATTTAACTCTATTTAAATTGACCCTCTTTGATAGACATTGACTGATTTAATATTATTTAAATACACCCTCCTTGATAGCTATTGGCTGATTTAACCTTATTCAAATAGACCATCTTCGATAGCCATTGACTGATTTAACCTTATTCAAATAGACCATCTTCGATAGCCATTGACTGATTTAACCTTGTTTAAATAGATCCTTTCTGATAGCCATCGACTTCTTGAACTCATGTAAATAGCCTGTGTCTAATAGCCATTGACTGATTTAACTCATGTAAATAGCCTGTGTCTGATAGCCATTGACTGATTTAACCTTATTTAAATAGGCCATCTTTGGTAGTCATTGACTGGTTTAACCTTCTTTAAATAGATGCACTTTGATAGCCATAACTCATTTAACCTTTTATATAAATACAATCTTCGATAGCCATTGACTGATTTAACCTTGTTTAAATAGATCCTCTTTGGTAGCCATTGACTTATTTAATCTTGTTTAAATACACCCTCTTTTAAAGCCCTCTGGTTTAACTTTTTTTAAATAGAGCCTCTTTAATAGAAAATGACTGATTTAATTTATTTAAATAACCCTCCTCGATAACCATTGACTGATAAACCTCATTTAAATAGACCATCTTTAATAGCCATTGACGGTTTTAACATTTTGTAAATATACAATCTTTGATAACCATTGACTGATTTAACCTTGTTTAATATAGACCCTCTTTGGTAGCCATTGACTGATTTAACCTTTTTAAATAGACCCTTTCTGATAGCCATTAACTGATTTAACTCATTTCAATAGCCTGTGCCTGATAGCCATTGACTGATTTAACCTTATTTAAATAGAGCCTCTTTGATAGAAATTGACTGATTTAATTTTCTTTAAATAGACTCTCCTTGATAGCCATTTACTGATTAATCCTTATTCAAATATATCCTCTTTGATTGCCATTGACAGTTTTAACATTTTGTAAATATGCAATCTTTGATAACCATTTACTGATTTAACCTTGTTTAAATAAACCCATTTTGGTAGCCACTGACTGATTTAACTTTATTTAAATTGACCCTCTTTGATAGCTATTGGCTGATTTAACCTTATTCAAATAGACCCTCCTTGATAGCTATTGGCTGATTTAACCTTATTCAAATAGACCATCTTCGATAGCCATTGACTGATTTAACCTTGTTTAAATAGACCCACTTTGATATCAATTGACTTATTTAACCTTTTGCAAATATACCATATTTGATCTCCATTGACTGATTTAACCTTGTTTAAATAGATCCATTCTGATAGCCATTGACTTCTTGAACTAATGTAAATAACCTGTGTCTGATAGCCATTGACTGATTTAACTCATTTCAATAGATCATCTTTGATAGCCATTGACTGATTTAACCTTGTTTAAATAGACCCTCTATGGTAGCCATTGACTATTTTAACCTTTCCTTAATATACTCTCTTTGATAGCTTAATAACTTAATACGTTAGGTTCTTTCAACACTAAATTTCTGAACATGTCCTTGCCAAATGACTCATCACATTATATGTCCTGTATCCACCAAAGTGAAGGAGTCCCAATAGGTCTATAATCAGCACTGGGTTTACCACAGATTCGGCGGAAACCATCTCAGATTTACTTTACTTTCACTTTACTCGCTGATATTTACTTTCCAAGCTGTAATACATCCCCTGGTTTAGTGAGTGAGTGGGTATAGTTTTACTCCGCTTTTTGCAATATTCTGGCAATATCACTGTGGGGACACCAGAACTGGGCTTCACACATTGTACCCACGTTGGGAATCGAAAAAGGGTCTTTGGCGTGACCAGCGAACGCTTTCACCACTAGGCTACCCCACCGCCCTATCTGGTTCTCATGGCTGCACCCGGACAGGACGCTCCTATGTTAAATTATGTCAAATGCTTTCCTCTCTGTACATAACACTTATATTCAGTAAAATTTGTATTCAGTAAAACTTGTACAGAACTCAAATGACTGAGTAGTTGTTTTTTTATCCCCGTAAAAACCGTGCAAAAAACTCCTGTATACACGAACAAATAGTTCATCAGTGAGTGAGTGAGGTGAGGTTAAAATTGGGTTAAACGTCGCGTTCAAGATTATTGCATTTATATAGCGACGTGCAAGCACGTGTGTGTGCGTGTGGCTGATCGTACTAGTCCTGACTCATGACGATTTATAGTGCTAGCCCACTGAGATACCATGCCGCAGTTTAACATGAATATCCCACTCAGACACAGTATACATGAATATCCCACTCAGACACAGTATACATGAATATCCCACTCAGACACAGTATACTGACTCCGAGGCGACCAGTCATTGTTTTAGCCCCTTAATGCCGAGCGCCAGACAGGGTAACAACAAGTACCATATTTTAACGTCTTTTGGTATGACGCGGCCGGGGATCGAATCCCGGACCTTCAGCTCTCCGGGCGGACACTCTACCACTAGACCACGGAGGCGGTCAGGTGAAAGAGTGAGTGAGTGCGTAAATATTTGTTGTTTAACACCGCACCCACACCGCATACACGAACGAATAGTTCATCAGTGAGTGAGTAAGTGAATTAGTGCGTAGATGTTTGTTGTTTAACGCCGCACACAGCCATATGAAGGGGGTCTGTATTTTATCGAATCTGTACCCAAATATCCAGTGGTTGACACGAGTATCGATCTACGCAGTTGGGATACGATGACTTGAACAAAATACCCATGATGTCACTGTAGATTTCTAGAACCACAGTTTAGAAATAACACCGGGGAAAAACCCGGGACGCCAGGGACAACTCATCTTATGCACATCCGACTGCTGGCGATATTTATAGACGACCTGATGCACGGCAACTCTGATCATGGTTCCGTTATGTCGTACAGTTCATGGATCGGTGGTTGAAGCGTTAGGTGGTTGCATGTACCGCACTGTCAAAGACCTACCTCGCTGAGCACCAAAACATATATGTGAGAGTGAAGACGGATTGTGAGACAGGAAGGCTGAATTGGATATTCAGTGTGAAACAAAATGGTGGCAGCAACTTAAATCGGAACGGCTGTTTACGCTGACTTAGGTAAGTGTCGGGCTCCCACTGAAATACTGAGTTTTAAGGAGGTGAAATAGCACAGCGCTGGCACAGCTTGATCATGTGTGTTGCGTTACTGTTACATTTGAATTGAATAGGTCACGGCGACCTGACTGCACGAGTATTGATCGTCAGGGTTGACAGCGAGTGGGAATAATGTAGAGTGGTGTGTGGTTTGTCGGCATGACATACATTGTGCAAGCTCCTTGGTGAGGTGAGGTGAGGTGAGGTGAGGTGAGGTGAGGCGAGGCGAGGCGAGGCGAGGCGAGGTGAGGTGAGAGGATGTGGGAGGATGAAGTTCTACAAAACGACTTGTGTATTCTATTCTGACTCAAGATTTTCTTTGTGAGCGCCAGCCTCTTTATTTGACCTGTTATGTTCTAACTTGCCTTCAATTGACGGTCGTTGTGAGCGTAAGTGGTTGTACACTTCCGGTGGCAATATGATATGGCTGTTTGGCCTATCAGGGATGACAAGTTAACAACAGTTCAAGATAGAAAGTTTGTAAGAACCAGCAAATTATCTTTAACCATTTCGTGATTAATAGGTGCGAGGGAGGCGATTAGGGTTGAAAAAAAATGCTGGTGCGTGATAAAAAGATCAATGCATATGTATAAGGACTGTCCTTAAAGGTGAGGTGAGGTGAGGTGAGGTGAGGTGAGGTGAGGTGAGGTGAGGTGAGGTGGGATTTAATGTCGCGTACAAGATTATTGCACTTATATCGCGACGTGCATGCAGGTGTGTGTGCGTGCGTCCGTGCATGCGTGCGTGCGTGCGTGCGTGCGTGCGTGCGTGTGTCTGTCTGTCTGCTTGTACTTGTCCGGACTGATGCAGATTTTATAGGCTTAGCCCACTGAGATAACATGCCACAGTTTAACATGAATACCCCACTCAAACACAGTATCCTGTCTCCGAGCCCCACCAGTCCTTGTTTTAGCCCCTTAATATCAAGCGCCAGACAGAATAACAACAAGTACCATCTTTAAAAGCCTTTGGTATGCAGCGGCCGATGATCGAACCACGGACCTTCCTCCCTCTAGGCGGACACTCTCCCACTGGGCTGGGAGTAGCGGTGGTACGGAATAGGGTGTGTGTGTGAATAGTGATGATGGTTGCGAGGTATGGTCATTGTGAAAGAATTCACCCAAATTCAAAAGAAAAAGCTGTTCGATTGAGCTGAGGTTTACTTGTCACATGCTTTGTCACGTGACTTTCATTGACTCGGAAAAAGCATGCGGCCTTATGCTCCGAAGCGGGGTATGAAGGATTTATTCTGCCGCTCAGAAATCCACGTGCAGCCTGTCTTCTTCGTGGCGGGTTATAAGGGATTTTTTCTCCCGCTCAGAAATGTATTTCCCTCCTAGAGGGAAATGTAGTATTTGTTTATTGATCACGCAAACCAATCAGACCTCATGATTCTCACATGGAGGTGTGATCAATATTTTTAAACATTGTTTAACAAAAGCTTTCTTTTGTCATTAGGCATAATAAATAAAGAATGATAATGATTTCATTTCTACCGGATCTTACCAGCTGTGGTAAATATATAGAGGATTCTATATGGGTGTTCATGTCATGCTATGTTTACGAAACGAGCGTCTAAATTCCGGTATTTCCCGAAGGCGAGCGTTCTATATTCTATTTATTACCGAAGAAGATGTCTACATACAGAGACGATTTTTAGTGTTTACCTACAAGGACATCTTCAGCTATGACGTCGTTTCTAGTATGACGTCATTCTGACCTCACGCCACAACAAGATTCAAATGACGTCAATAATGCCGCCCAGATGACCGAAACAATACATTACACAGAGATTACTACACGAGCCTCTGTCAGATACCATTGATCTTACAACGAGGTGTTTCAAAACGTTTCAAACGAGCGAAAGCGAGTTAGATACGCTTTGTAACAACGAGTTGTAAGATCAATGGTATCTGACAGGCACGAGTGCAGTAATCTGTTTCTTACACACCCTATAATCGCACCTTTTTAGCATCGAATCAATGCATTTTGTCTATTCTCATGATCGCAGTAGCGCATTAATACATAACACCACTGTCATAAGTGACGTCATCCTATGTACTGCTTACTACTTATAAATAATGTGACCCTACACAAAAAGGTTTCCGCCATATCTGAGGACTATCAAGGTGATGATGATAATGCAAACTAGACGAAAAGAAAGAATACGCTGAATGCCGACTTAAACGTTTACACCTCAAAGAATTTACCAAATATGTACAGCAATGCTTACTTCCGTATGATATCACTACCGGTGACCGACTTTTACGAAATGGCGCGTTCAATGACAACAGTACGCGGGATTTCCAGAGGAGGATTTTCGTTACTTGAGGGATCGTATATACCTAAACGTGTCACGTAATTAATCGGAAACATTCTGACAATCTGCGTACTGTTATTTTATACCATGTTTTCCAATGTGACAAAGAGACATTAGTCAGAAATGCAGGCGTCAAAACAGGACGGAAACTTTTACGGTTTCTGTTGAATTCGCCACATTATTGTTATGTATATATTTGAAATTCCATAATATTCCCAGGAATATTTTCAAACGCGTGATCGAGCCAGTGTATGCAACAATTAGACGAAAGTACCTCTAAAATGTCACACTGTGTAAAATCTGAATTTTGCTTTGTTTACATTTCAGCAAGTAGAGTTTTTCGAGCACAGCGTTCGTTTCCCCACCCATTTTATTTCGCATGATTTAATCTAGATAATTTGCATTGGTGACAAAGACTATTTGTCTTTGTTTCAGAAATGTATTAGGAATTCGGGGATGCATGTATAGCTGCTGAGTTTGAAAGATGCCTGATCGAATAGGCGTCTCATAACCGGCATTTTGTAAACATAATCCAATATGGCGGAACGTACACTTCGGCGTTCGTGTGTGCGTATTTTCCAAAACATTCCAAAATGATTCTAGGCTTATCAGCACCGTGCATTTTTTTATACTTTAATTATTCAAGTAAATATCCGACATATAGATTTCAAAACACACAGTAAATAACGCCGTGAATTGTGATTTGGCGAGATTTACGATGTACCTAGTTTTCAGAAGTTATTTTCAATAATTTTGCTTTGCCTAAAATGACAGTAAATGATTGACAGAAGGGGGAATTTAAAACTGTGATGTGTATTAGTTTGTGTGATGTATGTTGAATTTTATTTGATTTCCGAGTGTGGGTTGAAGAGGAGGGACAAATGTGTCGCTGTGGCATTCAGGGGGTACATACTATAAAAAAACCCGTTAAAGTTGACATAACAACAGATAGCGTAACTGCATAATAATAACGAACAAACTCGCAGAAGAGGACGAGTTTGTTTATTTATATTATTAATTACACGGAGACTGAATGCTGCCATCGTATACATACACCGAGAGCAAGAAATGTTAATCATATCAATACAACATGTACACATATTTCGCCAGTCATATCAATTTAACATGTACACACATTTCGCATAATGATCAATGAAAATTATGTCTATTATATAGAAGAGGAAGAAGATTATTTTACTACCGTGTCACATCACATTTATTAATGAACATTGTCCGGCCTGTGCGACACTAAGATGCAAGTATATGGTGTATATAAAACAGTCACAATATGCCTGAAATAATGCCGATGCGACGTTACATTCTCACTCACTCACTCACTCACTCACTCACTCACTCACACATTCACACACTCACTCACTCACTCATTCACTCACTCACTCACTCACTCACTCACTCACTCACTCACTCACCTACCCACCCACCCACCCACTCACTCACTCACTCACTCACTCACTCACTCAAGACAGAGGTACAACAAAAGTACATGATATCAAACATTGCACAGTTAAGGGAACATTATGTTGTGGGGTGAATTTTCTACAGTAACACATTCAAGTAACAGCAGGTGCAAGGAGGAAGAAGCAGATATTTCTGCGTTTTGAAGATAGTCTGGTCAATTGAAGACAAATTAGAACATAACAGGTCAAGATTAGAGGCTGGCGCCAACAAAGAAAATCTTGAGTCAGAATAGAATGCACAAAGTCTTTTTGTAGAACTTCATCCTCCCACATTTAAATGATTACAGTTTTAAATTTTACAAATACGATCTTAGGGGGAGCTGCTGGGCGTGAAACGCGAACAAGTTCTGTTTCAAGTGGGAGTGTACTTAATCTCAAGTTTGCCAAAACACTACATTGATACATTAACTGAACTTTCCAAAATAGTTTAAATTACATAAACGTTCTGAGTTTGTTTCTGTCTATTTCACCAGTATCATCACAACAGAGTCGGGGCGAAGTATCATGATCAATGATGGCTAGATTTGAAATTTTATTTCCAACCCCAAGAAAAAGAAAAAATACCCCGACAGGCTTTTTTTTGCAAAGCATTCATAGAACTCAATCGCTGATTCATGAGGTAAACCGAGAGTACGATATTACTATTTAGAGTATTAAAACAGCTTGTGACATTACACGGACATATTTTAGCTATTTCCTTGCCTCCAAAGGTTAAATCTAAATGCTCTTGCATATGGACGACGCAGCCGACATAGTGTACAGAACCCTATACATTCATCACAAAGACATATGAAGCGAAGCCTTCTACACACACCGACGAGCATTGCTAGTTTCGCATTCGCCGATTGGCATTTGCCTTGAAACAGAAACAAGCATATCATATAGCGCTGAGGCCGTTATATCTAATTGATGGCGGGCTGTAGCAGGCGTTTCCTTCATGAGTGTAGCATTCCTCCGCCCGGATGGGGAGAGGAGAGGGGAGGGGAGAAGAGGGAGGGGGGGGGGGGGGGGGGGGGGGGGAAGAGGCTTCCTACATGAGCTGTAGAAATGTCCTATTTATAGACAATGTTTAGTCAGGCATTGGCTCTTGTTGTTGTCAAATAAACTTCCCACTTTTGTGGCAAGCAGTTAACAGGTTTGTAAGTAACAAAGTGAATATGTTCCTT